GATAGACCAAAGGGCAGCATAGCTCAATATCTAATAAACTCCAGGAGAAAAGAATATAGAGACTAGGCAGGAAGCAATATTTGACAAAAGTATTAGCTAAAAATTTCTCAAAATTAAAAAAAAAGACCCCAGTTCTTTGCTTGCAAGTGACCACAAAATGCCATGCAAGACAAAAACCAAAGAGAAAACCCATACTTGAGTACATTGTTGTGAAATTATGCTCTTGTCATTAAAGAGAAAACCCTAAAAATATCTTAGACAGAAAAACAAAATACTCCAAATTTATGAGTACCAAAATTACATAAACATTTTCCATCGGCAATATTAGATGCAAGAAGGCAGTAACATCCTATTTTTAAAGTGAATAAAACATTTTCAGCCAAGGTCAAAAACTAAAGTAGAATCAATAATGGAATGACAGAGTAACAAAAACATAGAGAAAACTGGCTATTCATTATTGTCAAAAATTTGTAAATGGTCAAAAATTATGCTAAAATATGCTTGACATCACAAGTAAGCTAAGAAATGTTTGCTAACTTATCAAGGTGGAATTTTAAAAAATTGATCAAGTTGGTAAAATTTTAAAATATGTAGAAATTTACCTTCCATATGACCCAGCAATTCCCTTATTGGGAATATACCCGGAGGAACTAAAATCATTCTACCAAAAAGATGCACATGTATGTTTATTGCAGCTCTATTCACAATAGCAAAAACATGAAACCTACTGTGTTGCCCACTGAAGCTGGACTGGATAAAAAAAAAATGTGCTGCATATATGCAATGGAATATTATGCAGACATAAAGAAGGACAAATATATGGACTTTGCAGCAACTTAGATGGATTTAGAGTCAATCATACTCAGTGATTTATCAAAGAAACAAAGAACAGAGTTCCATATGTTCTCATTCATAGATGGACTTTGGACAATTATAATGCTATAAGAAAGCGATTGGCAGTAGTGGGAAACTGTCAGGGGAGGGGGGTGAGATTGGTAGCTGAGGGAAACTGCCAGGGGAGGGAGAGGCACACCTCATCAACAAGGGTACCTGCATGATCAATGTTTGTATACCTAACCCTGAAATGTACCCCACATCTTTATAATTTAAAAAATTTTTTAAAGAAGACAAAAAGTCTTATATAGAAATAATTGAGTCATTTCTCCTATAATCAAATAAATAAAATAAATTATATATAAAAATACGTGCAATGCTTAGCTTTGACAAGGCCATGGGGTGTATAATTATCGATACCGAATGAGTCATCCCTCACTGCTGGGTACTGTACTAAGTACTTCATGTGTGTTGTTTCTTTTAATTCCTACTGACCCTCTCCCTTTCAAATGCTACATTTTAAAATTCTTAAGTGACCTTTGTTAGATCTTATTCTATCCTCTGGATTTCACAGATGAGGAAAGTAAAGATTCCAGTTAACTTGTGTCTCAGCATTACAGTTAGTGAGGAACAGAGCTAAGGGTTTTACGCTCAAATGTGCTAAAGAACGTGTCCTATGAGGAGCAGGAAGTTGCAAAGAAGGGTGGACGGAGACATGGGCTGACTTTTTATATCGCCAGTGTAACTTAGGTTCAAATATGTTTGGTAACATTTGAGATGAGCATTTGAGGGCAATCACCAGTAGACCAAAATACCAACCCAGAACTTTCTATATGGGAGATGGGGGAAAAAGGAACCTCACAAAAGGAACAGAGAAAATGTGATTGATGTAGAAATGGAGAAGTGGAAAACCACAGGAAAGCGTAATTGACAGAGACCCTAAAAGAGGACGACTGGAGGAAATGGATCGGTGAACCCAAGGACTTCCATCCCCCACCCTGCCCAAGGGAAGTAAAAGATGTGCAGAAAATGTAAAAAGAAAGATACAATCAAATTGTTTCAAGAGATAGCCTGCAGGCAGATAACAGAGGCTGGTCAAAATGTGGCTGAGAAATGCAGACACAAATAAAAGAAGAGGGAAAGGATACAGGACACATAGGATGTTTCAAGGCAAAAACAGCACAAAAGAGAACCAAGGTGAATGTATTTATGACATTTCAGAATATATTCTATTTTTAAAATGTGGGGTGCAAATCAGGATTAGAACATAAGTGGTCTATGTACAGGTAGCGTTTGGACCCCCCATTGGTTCTCACTTTACCTGGTTTAGGATCAGGTACCCTTATTGATGTCATGTGTCCCCCAACCCCTGGCACTGTCCAATCCCGTTCTTGTAGCATTATGGTGAATGTTCAGAGTCCACTTATGAGTGAGAACATGTGGTGCTCAGTTATTTGTTTCTGTGATAGATCACTGAGTATGATAGACTCCAAATCCATCCAAGTTGCTGTGAAGTCCATGATTTTGTCCTTTTTTATGGCTATGTAATATTCCACAGTGTATATGTACCATCTTCCAGTTCACTTTTCATGGGCGGCACGGTTGGTTCTATGTTTTTGCTATTGTGAATAGTGCTGCCATAAACACGTGTGAGCAGGTACCTTTTTGGTAGAAAGATTTGCATTCCTCTGGGTGTATTCCCAGAAGGGGGATTGCTGGATCGCATGGAAGGTCAATTTTTAGATTTTTTAGAAATTGCCACACTGCTTTCAGTAGAGGTTGACCTAGTTAGCACTGCCACCTACAGTGTAGAAGCGTTCCCTTTCCTCTGCACCCTCACCAGCATCTGTTGTTTTTTGAGCTATGAATGATGGCCATCCTGACTGAAGTTAGGATATAGTTTTGATTTGCATTTTGATTTGATTTGCATCACTAATCAGTGATGATTAGTGAGGCTGATCGTTTTTTCATGTATCTGTTGGCATTTCTTTTGAGAAGTATCTATTCATGTATTTTGCCCACTTTTTAATAGGGATGTTTGTTTTTTTCCTTTGGGATATTTGAGTTCTTTGTAAGTCCTTGATGTTAGATTTTTGTCAGATATAGAGTTGGCAAATACTTTTTCCCCTTATGTGGTTGTCTCCCCACTCTCTTGATTTCTTTTGCTTTGCAGAAGATTTTCAGTTTAGTGAGATCCCACTTGTCTGTCTTATCTCTTATGTCATGAGCTTTTGGGATTATGATCAGGAATTTATTGCCTATTCCAATGTCTATAAGGGTGTCTCCTGCATTTTCTAAGATTCTTATGGCTTGAGGGTTTACGTTTCGGTCTTTGATCCATTTAGAGATGATTTTTATGTGTTTGTTGCATTTTTAAGAAACAGACACATTTGTGAGGGTATGTGATAGGACCCAGTGCAGGCAGTGCAGCTGGGTCTGAAAAAGATTTGAAAGCAAAACAGAACAATCCCCGGGAAGCGAGCAGACCCTCTCAGTCCTTTCCTCAGGCAGCTGGACCGCTTCATTCTTCTCCCTCTGCAGGTTGAGTTTTCTGCTTTTGTACGGTTTTTTGAGCAGAGCTGCACACAGGGCCCAGGGTGATGAATCTCCAGGATAAACAGCAAAATTTTCAAGAGTTGTGTCCTGGGGTGATGCAAAGCACACCACAGGAAACTGATAAGGCTTCTGGCACTGGAGAATATTGCTGCAAAATAAATGAAGCAAAAGGCAGGGGAACATTGTAAAATGTGTGCATCTAAAATAAGAATAATCAAAGGAACAGAGACATAGGCAACTGACTACTTTATTCTATAATCAGTGCCATTTCATATAGTGCCTGTAGGATTATTTTTTAATTGGTAAACTGATTCTAAAGATTATTTAGAAGAGCAGGTAACCGCTCTTAATCTAGAAAACATTGGAATGAAGGTGAATGAGGGTGAGCTTGCCCTGTTACAGTGCCACAGAGATTAAATTTCCTAATTATATTATCTGTGAGCAACATGTTGACAAATGTTATTAAATGTGATAATTTTGTCCTTTCTGCCAAAAACAGAAGACATACAGAAACAATCAGAAGTCTTTTAAATTTGACAGTCAACGTGAATTCTGTCTGTGAGTTCTGCCTGCTTCTACAGACTGTTTGCTGAGCAGTTTCCGGATCTCACATAATTGGTAAAAGAGTAAATATAATTGAAAAAATAGTGAGGTGGAAACTAGAGAAGGAAGATTTCAGGCGATTATCATTGTCAATGGGATACAAACGCGAGTCTGATTTCAGAATGGCATGCATTTATTGTTTCTCTAGTCATGTGTTCAGGAAGTAGTTATAATGCAGAGGAGTTTCACAGACCTACTGATTGCAAGCAGAAAGAGAGTGGGTTTTCCCTTCTTTCTTCTTCAGCCAAAGACAAATTCCATGAGTTATAAGAATTTTGGAACAGCCTTGTCTCTACTTACTTGAGATACTTGGGGGGGGGGGGGGAGAATGGCAGCTATTGCCTGTTAAAGATGTTTCTCTAACAATACTGGAAAGCAGAATTTGCTCAAAACCCATGGTTGCTTATGGAGAAAGTTGTTTGTTTTCTGCTACCTGTTGCAGAAGTGACAAGCCTGCAGGTATATTTATGTGACGTTGCTCTAAAGAGTCTCCTGCATTCAGTTGCAAGAACGATGCTGCAATTAGCACGCATACCATGCGAGTGAGATGCTGATTAAAAACGCAGAGTTTATTTTGTTACCCTGAAAAATCATATTGCTTCACTGCCAAATTCCTAGATTCAGGTTTTAAGAACCTGTAGAAGGTATTGAGGTACATTTTGACCCAATTGGTATAAAGAAATTATTCTCTTTCCACTTTGCTCCTCCCTGCTCTAGACTGGCTTTTTATTTTTCTGTATTTGAAAGATTGTGTTGGGGTCAACTCTCCCACGAAGGCCTATTATGAAAGAGCCAATGGAGAAAGACTAGATTCTCCTTGTTTGATAGTTCCTAATGTTTTGATATATCCAGCCAACCATCTGCAACCGCAAACTCCCTGCTGAAAAACTAGTGGGAGACGAAGAATAGGAAAATAGCAAAGGAATCACTATGTGAGTGTAAGAGTTTTTGGCAGCAGAGTGAATTGAGACCATAATTCTCTTCGGAAACCAGTCTAAAACATAACTATTCACAACGAACATGAGATTAAAAGCATGGTGTAGTGGTGACCCAACAGGAATGTGAATTATTACCCAGGACATGCAGAGACCTGTGGATGAACTGTGTGTCTAGATTTTTTCCTCCAACTTTCCTGAAAGTAAGTTAACTTCTAAAATTGTGGTTATTTTGCACGTAGAAATATAATGTAAGAGTAGAAATTGGAATGCCGAGCATTTGGGGGGAAATGACCAAATGCCGTAAATGATTAATGAGTAATTTTGACTTTTCAAATCATTTGAGCATTTTATTTTGTATAACTAAATAACCAGTTGGGGAACTAATCATGTCCATTTTTACCCCATGACTAAAGTATGTTTGGACAGACAGCATATATTATGGAATAGGCTGCTAGATAAGTTGAAAGGAACTTGATGTTGCTTCTTTGCAAGTATGAGCTATTTCCAAAGTTATTTGAATTACTTATTACTTGTTGTTCATTTTCATACTTAGTTCCAGAAAAGTTGTAAGCATTGCAGGATGTACAGGATGCATGGGTTTCTGAGTTTCAAATTGTCTTTAATTGGCTTGAGAATATTTTCATCAAGAAAACTCGGGGAAATATTTTTATTGACCTTGTCTGTTACCCTGCATAAGAATCTTAATCTAACTTGTTGCACAATACATTTGTACTCCGAGCAACAGAAATTTCATCTGACTGGGAAATTACTACTTTTATAACCAATTTATTATTTCTAAATTACACAATTTTCAATCCTGTGCCACTTGACCTAACTAAATGTTTCATGCTCTGATGGTGTATAGCATTTTTTTCCTGATATTTACACCAAGATGTTCAATGGGGGAAAAAAATCAGTTTTCACACACTTGGAAACAAATAAACACATTCATGACAATTAGATTGTGTAACTGTTTTGTGTTCCACAAATATTTTCCAGCACATATAAGACATGAGTTCACAGAAAGAAGGAGGAACACTTTCAGGTACTGAGGCTCTCCACAGTGTTGATTTCTTAGTTAGAAAGATTGTACTTCTGTGTGAGTCGGGGTTTCCAGACTGTCACAACCTGCTCTGATGGCATTATTATTAGGAGCTCATCGACATTGCTGATGGATCTCTTTGCTCCCTCCTGGACAATTCGTAAACACAAATTCATGCAACCCTCTGTTCTGTGAATGAGGTGCATCCTAAAAGGAACCCCCAACAATTAGGCTGTCACACTCCCCCTTTTTCTTTTCTCCTTTTGTCAACTTTCTGTTGCTGTTGTAACAAATGACCACAAGCCTAGTGGCTTAAAACAAAACAGATTTATCATATCTCAGTTCTGGAGGTCGGAAGTACGATGCGGGTCTCACTGGCCTAACAACAAGGTTTTGACAGGGTTGCGTTTCCTTTTAGAGATTGAGGGAAGAATCTGCTTTCTTGCCTTTGACAGCTTCTAGAAGCCTTATCCAGTCTTTGGCCCATGGCCTTTTTCCTGCCTCCTCAAAGCCAGCAACAGCAGATGGAGTCCTTCTGACACTGCCTCACCCTGATCTCTTTGCCTCCCAATTTCACTTTTTAGGACCCTTGCGATTACATTGTGTCTACCCAAATAATCCTGCATCATCTCCCTGTTTTAAAGTCAGCTAATCCTTCCTTCTGTCTGCGACCTTAATTAATGTGTAATGTCTGCCGTGTAATGTCATAGATTCACAAATTTCAGAATTAGAACGGGACCATATTCTGCTCACTACTTTTCTCTTCAACGATTCTTTGTCTTTCAGACTTAAATAGCAGCACAGTAGACACTGCGATAATGATGGAGCCAGGCCTAAACTCCATCTCTGGCAACAACTCCCTGGGGCTGCTTGAGCACGTTATCTTCCCATTTGGGCTGCCTCAAACACCAGAAGGGGTCAGCATCCTCATGGCTTGCTCAGTCTAGGATCCAGGAGCAACCACATCAGTAAAACGATTTGAGAGCCAATTCACAACATTATGGGGCAACCCTTTCGGGCCCCCTCCCGCTGTGAGAGATTTTCTGTCCTCTCAATAAATCCTGCTTTAAAACAAAACAAAAACCTTATGATGTCCATCCCCGTTCAGTGTGGCACTGAAGGAGGACACCGCTGCCATGGAAACCCAGGTCTTTTCAAATAATTCTATGAAGATTTGCTAAAGACTTGGCCCGTGTATTGGGAAGTGACAGTCTGATTGACAGGTGGATCTGTGTGTATGCCCGAAGGGTGCTCTCTCTCTTTCTGTGTAGGACTGGGCCCTTGTGTGAGTTATCCCAAGGCCAGGGCTGAGCCTGTAAGAAGGCAGGCAAAGGTGACTGACTTTCGCTGACAACAGCAGAGCGACATTGTTGCCTGCAAATAATTACCTCTATTTTGACTTCAATAATGTACTGTTAGAATGAGGGACCTGCTCAAGGACTTATTTATCTGTTATTTTCAGCTCATCACCCCTTATCCCTATGTCACCCCTCACACATCCACCTGCGCATGGGTGAGTTAAACCATCAAGGACCTGAAAATCAGTTTAGATGCTCTTCTCTACCAGCAGTAGAAGTGAGAGATCTACTTTGCAAGAATCAAGTCTGTCTCTAATACTTCCATGCCTGTCCCTTTACCCAGCAGACCTTTCCACAATAATTGCATTTTCATGACGAAATTTTCCCAACAGAAAGTGCTTTCACACCACTGAAAGCTAGTTAAAAACGATGAGTTTCAAATCTCCCTCCCTCTTGAGAGTGTCTTGGGAAAATCTCCACCAAACGTGTGATACAGGTCTGGCTTTTATTTCTGTACATCTTCATGACCACAGATTCAACTGTTCCAAAATAACAGTCCCCTAGCCAAAATGATAAGGCCCTTAGCCTTCTACTCCAGTTCCTTCTCACTTTATCCTGCACAGCACATCCTATCCACTTAGGTTTCACTTTGTACAGTAGACTTTGTCATCGTTCCAAGGAATGAAGGATGAGGAGTTGAAATATATAGGGCAAAATATTCAGGCTTTTATTTCCTTATTTTCTCTGAAATCTATCATCTAACAGAGATTGTAGAGCATTGATACAATTTCTTTGAGGACTGTCTGATAGAATTTCCCATGAAACCACTCACTGGTGAACCACCAGTAATGCTTTCTGCTTTGGAAAATTATTAATTATCGATTCCATTTTTTTAATAGATACTGGCCTATTCAGATTGTCTATTTCTTCTCATGTGAATTTTGGCAGATAGTGTCTTCCAAGGAATTGGCTCATTGCTTCTTGATTATCAGATTTGTGGGTGTAGAGTCGTCCGTAGTATGCCTTAATTATCTTCTTAATGTCTATGGGATCTACAATGATGCCTTCTCTTTCATTTCCAATATTATTAATTTGAGTTCTCTTTCTTTCATTCTTAGCCTGGGTAGAAGCTTACTAATTGTAACAACATTCTCAAAGAACTAGCTTTTGGTTTCCTTGATTTTTTCTATTGATTTCCTACTTTTGATTTCATTGATTTCTACTCTAATTTTTACTATTTGTTTTCTTTTGCCTACTTTGAATTTAATTTGCTATTCTTTTTGTAATTTCTTAAAGTATATGTTTAGATGATTGATTTCAGATTTTTCTTCTTTTCTTATATATATTCAATGATATAAACTTTCCCTACCATATCCCACAAATCTTGATAAGTTGTGTTTTCATTTGTATTTAGTTCAAAATATGTTTTAATTTGTCTTGAGATTTTTTTTTCTTTGACTTCTGTGTAATGTAGAAGTATATTGTATAATCCCCAAGTATTTTGGGTATTTTTCAGCTATCTTTCTTTTATTGATTTCTAGTTTAATTCCACTGTGGTCTGAGAGCATACGTTGTATGATTTCTATCATTTCAAATTTGTTGAAGTGTGTTTTATGATCCAGAATATGGTCTATCTTGATGAATGCTGCATGTGAGCTTGAGAAGGAGGTATACTCTGCTGTTGTTGGATGAAGTAGGGCATAGATAAATGCTTATTTTTCCCAGCTCTTTGGTTGTATTACTGTGTTCAACCATGTCTTTACTGGTGTTTTTGACTGCTGGTCTATCCTTATCTGATAGAAGGGTGCTGAAGTCTTCAACTGTAATCATGGAATCATCTGTTTGTCCCTGCAGCTCTATCAGTTTTTGCCTCAAGTATTTTGTCATTCTCTTGTCAAGCACCTACATGTCAAAGACTGTTATGCCTTCTTAGAGAATTTGTCCCTTTATTATTATGTAATGTCATTTTTTTTTTTTTTTTGAGTTGGAGTCTCACTCTGTCACCCAGACTGGAGTGCAATGGCCACTCCCGACCACCGCAGCCTCGACCTGCTGGGCTCTGGCGATCTTTCTGCCTCAGCCTTCCAAGTAGCTGGAATTACAGGCGTGTGCTACCACGCCCGGCTAATTTTTGATTTATTGTAGAGATGAGGTCTTGTCAAGTTACCCAGGCGGGCCTTGAACCTGCGGGCTCAGGCAATCCACTCACCTCGGCCTCCCAAAGTGCTGGGATTACAGGCTGAGCCACCAAGCTCGGCCGTAATGTCATTCTTATCTCTGTTAACTTTCTTTACCTTGAAAGAAAAGTCCGCTTTGTTTTCAGAAGTCTGTTCTGTCTGAAATTAATATATGATGATTAGTGAGGTTGAGCATTATTTCTGTCTGAAATTAATATATGATGCTTATTGAGTTTGGCTACCCACATGTCTTCTTTTGAGAAGTGTCTGTTCATGTCTTTTGCCCACTTTTTAATGGGACTGTTTTTATTTTTTCTTTCAGCACATTTATGTTCCTTGTTGATTCTGGATGTTAGGCCTTTGTCAGACATACAGTTGGCAAATATTTTTTCTCATTCTGTGTGCTGTCTCCCCGCTCTCTTGACGGTTTCTTTTGCTTTGCAGAAGTTTTTCAGTTTGATGAAGTTCCACTTGTCTACTTTATCTCTTATGGCATGGACATCTGGGGTTTTGATCAGAAGTTGTTTGCCTACTCCAATTTCTGTACGGGTGCCTCCTGTGTTTTCTAAGATTCTTAATGTCTGAGGTTTTATGTTTAGTCTTTAATCCATTTAGAGTTGATTTTTGTGTATGGTGATAGGTAGAGGTCTTGTTTTCATCTTCTGCATGTGATCAGTCAGTTTTCCC